CGCGTCCACGGACGTCGTCTGCGCGTCCACGGACGTCGTCTGCGCGTCCACGGACGTCGTCTGCGCGTCCACGGACGTCGTCTGCGCGTCCACGGACGTCGTCTGCGCGTCCACGGACGTCGTCTGCGCGTCCAAGTGTGTCCATTCGGCCCGTGTGTGGTGGAGTCCCATATGTCCCAGCAGTTCTTGCGTTATGCGTTGGTGGTTTTGAGTACTGCGTTGGCGTCTGGGATCTTGAGCGAGCGGTGCTTGTCCGGCGACGTGTGCGGGGACATCCTGCCTTGGCAGCACGAGCCGAGCGCGCCGTCGGTTCGTTCCCATTTGGCCGCTCTGCAGACGGTGTCACTCAACGCAGCAGCCAACCGGTATTACGACCACATCGTCATCGGTGCCGGTGCGGCAGGGTCCACACTCGCGCGCTCTCTCGCCGAACGAGGCCGTCGCGTCCTCCTCGTGGAGCGCGGCTCTCCACGAATCTCGCACGTTCTCACACAGTCATTGTACGGTGCCGGCCTCGTCATCGCAGACGACGGCGTCGGTCAAACAGTGAGAACCAAGAACGGAATTCGCACCACCCTAGGCGCCGTCTTCGGCGGTGGTACCGCCCTCAGCATGGGCATCCAAATCGAGGACAACGACTATCCCCCGCAACTTCAACTCGACCCCTCCGCCTTCCAACAGGCGGTGCTCTGGACCAGACAGCATTTCTCCAGCTTCATGCCGCCGATTCCCGGCTACACCGACACTGTCCACCAGGCATTCGCTCACGCCCTCCAACACCACCCCCTCTCCGACACTGACCACCACCCCCCCTCCCACCACCCCCCCTCCGACACTGACCACCACTCCAACCAGCACTATGACATCCAGTATAATGCAGTATGGAACGGTGCGACCTTGTTCAACGCGTCCGAGAACTTCTTCCGACGTTCATCGGACAGCTGTTTGGCGAACGCGTATGAACCGCAGCCCAGCACGTTGGACGTGTTGCCCGAGACGTGGGTGGAGCGGATCGCGTTTACGCAGACGCGGGACCAGCCGCGGCCCCGCGCCGCTTGCGTGCTGGTGCGGCCTGCGCGAGCACACGACCGACGCGTGCTAGGTGGTCAAGTGTTGGCGCCGAAGCCGAAGCTGCGGCACTCATTGCCCACGCCACGACGCCAGGCGTTGGTGAACACGCAACCGCCGGGCTGGGGCTTCTTGGAGGAGTTCATCAGCCGTCGTCGTAGACGCTTGGAGGAGGGGCTAGTCGAACTGTGTGCCGCGGAAGAAATCACTCTCAGCGCCGGAGCAGTTCACACTCCCCTGATCCTAGCACGAAGCGGCGTAGGCAACACCGAGCAACTGGGGCTGTTGGGGATACGCAACCCCGTGCTCGTTAACGAAGCACTCGGTCGTAACCTTGGAGACCGCACACTGGTACCCATCGTCCTCTTCCGCAAACATTCAACTGGACGCGGACACGAACTAGAATCCAGTGTTTGCGGAGCGATATCCGCTGAAGAGAACCCGGACGGACTACTCATCGTCGCCCAGGAAGCCACCGGCGGCCGGATCGTGGAGGGGCTCGCCTTGGCCACACGCATCTTCCTCGCGCCCCTGGCACGCTCCACCTCTGCCAGCGATGCACTCGTCTTCACCGTCAACTTCTGCTCCGAAAGACCCAGATCCAACCTGCTCTGCGACCTCGTGCGCAAGGCCCCCCAATGCCTCCGCAAATTGACCGCCCTCTGGACCTTCGTCACACAACCAAAGTCCCGAGGGATTGTTGTCCAAGACGCTAAAGGCAACGTCGTAGTCGACCCCGCCTACTACTCACATCCAGACGACCTAGACGCTGCCATCCGCGGCACCGAAATGCTCATTGATGTCGTCCGCTCTGGACTACTCGATAACGAGTTCGAAAACCCCACACAGGACTCCTGCATCCACACCCTCCACGACACCGTTTCCCTCGCAGTCAACCACTATCGCACAGCCATGGAAGAACACGACCAAACACACGTGAGCTGGTACACTGACGGGAACAAGAACAGGACGCGCTCTCGAATCAACAGGTCGCCGGGTGCAGGACTCGTGGGCGCAGGACCCGTTGGCGCCAGAGGACCCGATTCCTTAACACGCTCTCTGATCGAACGATCGGTAAATGGTCGCGCGGCAACTGAACACTTGGGCACCAGACGCACAAATAAACCAGATGAGCTCACTGACGGGTTTTCTCAGGCGGCGGGTGGTTTGCCTGGTTCCGTGGTATTACCCGGTATACTATGGGCTCTGGGTCCGCATCACAAGGTTGTCGGCCAAAACGTCTCGACTTTTCCAAACCAACTGCCGCTTTCAAAGAAGGGAGTAGTGCAGCTGGTAGAGGAGAGCTCGCAGTCGATGTGGCATCTGCATGGTACCGCCGCTATCGGGACGGTTGTTGACTCCCAGTTTAGATTGAAGGGGGTCTCAGGGCTCTCTGTTGTTGACGCAAGCATCATGCCTAAATTGACCAAAATGAACCCGACCGCTTTCCTGCTAGCTCTCGGGCGCTATGTGGCGCTTGTTAGATCACCCATTTAATTTTTCCATGTTCAATTGTTGTCGGCCATCCAATGGAACCGCTTACGCTCTGAAGGCGCCAGAGGCAGAAATACCATGTGTTGCAAACGTAATATTCACTACTTCGCTGTTCTTGCTAAACGAGCCCGGCGATGCGCTGCAATCTTAACATGACAATCGTGTGTGCACACGCGCGCGCGATTTTCTTTTGGTCTGCATAGATTGCGAATGCGTTCTGTGTTCCCTCCTGTCCCCAAATGCTGTCCAGTGTGCAGGCAACGACGAGCCACCCTTGGCTCGTCGCCGGTTTGCAAGAATGACTGCGTTGGAGTATGCGGCTTTACATATGAAGAAGACATCGCCTATATTAGTGGTTAATCGGTCCCAGTCGACTCCGAATGTGGATGGCCCATCGTCGCGACCCGGCCCGGAGAAGAAGATGGGCATCCGGCGCAAGAATTCGGACAAGTCTGGGGGAAATACTGGGCGAGCGAACAAACGTGTTTACTCAGTTCGAGCTGAAGAATTTTCTCCGTATTACCCCCCTTTGAGTCCCCGGCCGCCGGCGCGTACTACGACTTTCAGTAGTAGCGCGAAGCCCGGTGATTCGCAGCCCCCAAGAGATTGGCGCCCGGGTGATTCTCATGCCCCCCTTGAGACTCCTCCTAGCCCCAAACCGAATGACTCCCCCACGAATGATCCGAGTGCTGGCAGTCCCCGCGTATCTTACTTGGACTCCACTGCCGAGGTCAGCGCCTCTCCCGCGGTCTCGACGAGCGCTGAAGGCAGCCCCAGGTCTGCAGCGCTTCCCTCCGAATTACTATCAGGACCAACGATGACTGATAGTCAGTCCCCAGACCCTGCCAATTCTCCTCCTGCAGGTCCCTCTATCGCCCTTCCCGCAGGTCCTTCGCTTCCCCCAGGTCCGACCCCAGGTACTGACAACCATCGACCCGAACCCCCCACACTACCTCCCACCACCAGCATGGCATCGGGCGACATGCCTGGCGTCCTGCGCAAGGTCTCGCTAACCAGACACAGCCCGAACAGTCCCGCCAATGTCGGCCTGGTTGTTGAAACCCCCAAACCCGAGACGCCCGACCACCGCCCCGGTGGTGGCAAGGGCAAGGCCAAGGCCAAGACCAAGGCCGCCCCCGGCGGCCGCAAATTCGGCGCCGCAGTTCCTAAGGCAACCACTGCCACCGGGCTGCGGACCAAGGACGCTAGCAAAATGGTCGAGAACATGGACCCTTACGACGCCCAACTCGTTTACACCGTCTGTAACTTCTCCAGAGCCGCATGCATCACCGACCCAGTAGATGTGCCCTCGGTCCGACAACGAGACGAAGCCGTTGCCGCATTCATGCTCCTCTACTCCGCCAAACTACAAGTCAGCCACACACCCAACACACGCCCATAAATAATGGGCGTACCAGACATCCACAGGTACCACACGGGGCAACGCACAAACTTTGTGGACACGCTTTGTGGACAGCCTTTGTGCACACACACACGTCGTCATTTAGGCTGCAGGTCGGCAGCTGCCTGTGGCCACTGCGGCAGCGCATCTTTGCAACCTGTCCGCCGGTCAGTTGGTCTCCGAAAAGAGCAAGAAGGAAGGGCAGAAGGTTGCCTTCTTGGCTCAGTTTGTGTGTAGGCCCCTCATATTAGGGGTGCAGGCGGCAGATCCTGCAAAGGCTAAGTCGGACATCTCCGACTGCCACTTCATGCGAGGGGATCCTCCTGTGAATCTCAAGGACCGGCTGCAGCCTTGGTGTGACGAGGCGGCTGAGCACTGGACGTGGAGTACGGCTGTGGCGCTTTGGGAAAACGGCCGCGCAGAGACGCTCCTGACCGACCTAGTCACGGCCATGGGCAACGGTCAACGGAATCCGGCGGACGATACCTTTCTGGCACCCCTTGCTGCAATCAAGGACGTGATCTCCTGCTGACCCGGTTGCCTGGCTCTAGTGCTGTCGACCTTGGCTGCTCGCGACCTATTCCCTGATTCTGGTCTCTGGCTCTAGCTCTAGCTCCGGGACCTGCTCCAGGGACCTGCTCCAGGGACCTGGTTGGGAACTACGTTCCCAATTCCCAATATGGTTCCCTGACTCTAGTAGTACTTTGGTTCTGGTCTGGTACCGTTCCAGGCAAGGAGGGTGACTTGTTGTTATGGCGACTTCCTCTTACGGCAGTGATTCTTTAGTGCATTGGTTTTTGTGGGTATGTTTTTAGATCAGGCTGAGGATGGCGAACTCAGCAGCAATGAGATATTAGATCTGAGAAAAGTGCGAAGTAGCCTTTTGGAGGAGGAGGAGGAGGAGCTGCCGTTGGGTGCTGATGAGACGTTCCCTCCGGCGCCGATTCGTTCGTTTACGGCGACTTGTATGGGTGGGGAGAGTTCGCCACCGGCTGCGCAGAGTGCAACTCCAGAGCCGTTGATCCCTGGATCGAAGCGAGCCGCACCTAATCGGGTGGAATTACCGGTGGTGCCGTTGACGTTAATGTCATTGCCGGTCGACGTGGTGACGAAGGGCGTGTGTCCGTTTCTGGACCTGCGGGACTTGTGGCATTTGGCCTCCATGAACTGCGCGGCTGGCGTGTTGCTGCGGCATGTGCCAGAGGCACTCAGTGTTGCCGATTATGATCGTATTAACGGCGTAAGCGCGGGTGCGGTCAATGTTAAGGGGACCGAAATCTGGGGTGTGCAACAACGTTCGACCGCGACCGGCTGTGCGGTAGATCTGGGACACACGCTTTGTGTGAAACAGGCTGTACGAGGCGGGGTAGCCCCGCGTCTACGACACCGCCTCTACTACCACTTAATCCGACTGAGCAACGAAGATCCTGACTTCATCGACGCGGTTGCACAGGAGGTCGCCCGCCGAAGCAACGGCGATAACACGGTCTTTAAGTCTCCTTACCGCGCCTTCGTCCACACCCATTCAGAACGCTGCCAATTCATCGACCACGTCGCACCCCTCATCCAAGACCAACTCGAACTACTTGAAAATCAACTACAGGAAGAGGGCGCAGATGCGGAGGGACACGAAGGCAGATCGGAAGGAGCCCAACCGGAAGAGTTGCGGACCACCGCTAATCCGAAACGGTCGCCGGGGCCGGGAATTGAAGTCCGGGACGACACCAAAGAAGAAGGTGGGGACGACGATGTGTGCAGCAGTCAACAGGTGACCAGTGGACAAGTGACCAGTGGACAAGTGACCAGTGGACAGGTGACTAGCCGACAACTAGTCGGAAGACTGTTGAGTGGTAGAGCGGGTGTGAGATCGGGCGACGATGAGTCAGAAAACGGGACGGATTCGGTCTCTGATTCGGAGGCTGCGCCTCTTCGAACGGAGGGAGAGTCATCGTCGGCTTGCTTCGTGTCGCCGGAAGAGGTGAGTCAGTGCACACCAATTCTTTACCGAATACACTCTGACCGAACGGACGAGGTGACGGACTTGGAGCGGTATCAGAGCCCCTTCAGCACGAGCACTGGAGTCCCGGTGGGAGCTGGGAATGTGCCGCGGTTTCCTCAGCCATCTGGAGGCACTGGGTACCGTCTGGGTTATGGTTTACGAACTGGTTGCTGCACCCCAAACAAGTCACCAGTCAACGATCGACGGTGTGGTGGTGATGATCGACGGTGTGGTGGTGATGAGCGTTCTAGTGGTCATCAAGGTTGTGGTCATGAGACAGGATCAGGTGGTAACGGATCAGGTGGTAACGGATCAGGTGGTAACGGATCAGGTGGTAACGGATCAGGTGGTAACGGATCAGGTGGTAACGGATCAGGTGGTGGCCGAGGACTGAGTTTGTTAGAGAATGTTGCGCTACTACGAAGGGCATCAGTATTAACACGGGAGGTGGCACCGCACCACGGTAGCGAGGAGGCGGGTCGATTATATTCATTTCTAGTATCTGAGGCAACTGTGAGTGCAAATTTAGCGGACTTGATAGACCGTGATTTGGATCGTACCTTTCCGAGTCACCCATTGTTCCGTTGCAGTTTAGGTGAGCACATGAAGAGTGCGATGCGTGATATTTTATTAGCTGTGGCAGTGGTGGAGCCCGGATTGGGATACTGTCAGGGATTCAACTTTATGGCTGCCACATTGTTGATTGAATTGGTATGTCCAGTTACAGCGTTTTGGACTCTGATCTTTCTATTACGGAGACGTGGTTTAGCGGGGTTGTTTAACCCTTCGTTGTCGGCGATGAGTTTAAAGTTAATGCAATTACGTGAGATGTTACGACTCTATATTCCGGAGACATATATTTCGTTACGACGAGCAGGTGTTCAATCTGATCTTCTTTGTCACCAAAGTTTGATTACATCTCTAACCTACTTCTTACATCCCTCTGTCGTGATCCAGTTCTGGGATGGCGTTGTACTTGGCGGCTTCCGCGTATTCCTTGTTGCCACTCTGGCTATCATCTTCCTTCTTGATCGTGATCTACACTCAACTTTCGCTCATCCTGAACTCGATGGACATCGTCCCGATGACGAAGCATTACAGTTCGTACAGAGCAAACGTCTCAAACTCTGTCTCCTGCACCGTGAATCCGCCGCTGGTCGGGAATTCCTCGCACAGCTTGTACACGCCTTCCTAGAATTCTATCCCAAATGCACCTCCCAGCTACTCTCCCGTCTCGCCGCCATCTCTCTCGTCACAACCGTCAAAGACGTCGTCCAGGAACTCAACCTCTCTATCCACTCGCCCGACAAAAGCTATCTACGAAACCCTCCCTCCCATCCTACCAGAGAACACTTGATGAAAGACAACTCCGCCCACCACCTGGCCAAGGATACGCAACACCCAACCAGTCCCCGGACGGCGGCGGCCAAGCATTACCATCGCGAGCCGGAGACCGAGAATCGACTCCTGGACGACTGCAACGCTGCCGCTCGGACGCACCGCGTCCGGGCCGACCCCATTCAGACGGACGTCGCTTCAGGGGACGCTGGTGTGGTAGTTCCCTCGACTAGTCGACCCGGGACGGGCGAGTTCCTTCCCGTAATTCAGCCGCCATACCTCCTGGTCCCGCGGTTGCCTCGGTTCAAACAGGATGACCGCGAGGAGACGGTTCAGCGCGGCATGTTGGTGCATTTCATGAGTTCCGTAGAGAACGCGGAAGGCTTCCGGTTTACCTACAAGCCTTTGACACCCGTGGAGTTGGAGGCTGAGCGTCGCGCCGAGACGGAGCAACGCCAGCTGGCGAGTGGCGGAACCGCCAGCAACGCAACCGGTTACGGACAAGTCGCCGGTTCGAATCCAGGCGGAGCCCGGTTGTTATCACCTCGGCCGAGGCGTGGGCACCCGGCCAAGTTGACGTGGTCATTGTTGATTCCGGAGCACTCCAGCATCAACCCGAATGAGATTAAGTTGGTGAGTGGGGGCGGCCGGTTGCGCGCTAGCAGTTTCTACATGATCATGGAAGCGCGTTATTATCTTGATGATGAACGTGTGCCGCTCGTTGCAAGTTGGGATAAGGCGTACCTTTGCGCCAGTGAACGCGCAGATGCACTTACCGCATACCTCCTTCGGCGGCGCCGCCCTCGCCGTGAGACTCAACGCCTTGGGGCCGTTTGTTGGTCCGACCTCGGACTCTACCTGGACGCCATCGAGCTTAATAGCACGCGGCACACTGCCGAACAAGACAGCCTCAGAGCTGCACGGCTGGGCGTAGGCCCAGGCGGCGGGCTACCGCTAGCTGGGTCGGGAGACTTGGACAGTGGATTTCCTGTAGGTTTCCCGAAGAGCCAGGACGAAAACAGCGCGCGGACGAAAGTCAACGTGGAGTGCTCCGGAGTAGATGGTGGGGAAGTGCAGAGCCAGGAGCGCGAGTTGGAGAGCAGGTCGTTTTCGGCTTTGCCGCGGTTCCACAGCCATTTGGGGAGCGAGAGCTCAGCGGAACCCGGAGGTCGGTTGCATTTGGGCGTAGGCATTACGACGAAGAGCATGATGACGAGGCACCGGCTTCGCCAGACTAGTCTGCCGAGCGGTCCCAGGGGTGGTCCTGAAGTTGGTAGCGGTATGGGTGCTCCTCAAGTTGGTCCTGGTGGTGGAGGTATAGGTAGTGATTTCGGTAGTGGTGAGCTGAATGTGACGGTGGATGATAACTTGGTGTTATTAAAGGAGGAGGCGAAGAGATTGTTGGAGTGGTTGAAGCAGCATGATTGTACATTCAGTACGACCACGGAGCAAGGTTATGTAATAATACCATTGCGTGTGGTTATGACTTTAGTGCAGGCTTTTCGTGAACAGAATCGTCAACTTGCGCGTGATCGAGCACACTTTGAGAACAAAGTGCGAGTGCTCGATAGACAAGTGAATACTCTAATCCGTCAGATCGATCGTCTGCGTCAACGACACGCACAACAACTCCGCATTGTCGCCCAACTTGAGCACGATCTCTACGATCAACTTAACGCAGACAAATTTCTTAAGACACCCAAAGTCAAAACCCCTTGGAAAAGACTACTTGCCGGATTGAAAAATAATAGACCGCATACCTCTGCCGCTCATACCTCAACCATTCATACCTCGGCCGTTGATGATGTACCCGATACCAAGAGTGAAGGCTCCGTCGAACGAATGCAAACCGATTTTAGTCCCGCTATATCCGTTTGCAAAACCGACTTCGGCGAAATCAAAACAAAAGTACAAACACTTCTCCACACATGAGTGCGCAACGAGTGGGTACGAGTACCGATCTCGACACAAGAATGTGGTATCGCACACACGAGGCGTATCACACACACGAGGCGTATCACACACACGAGGCGTATCACACACACGAGGGTGGTATACTACGCACGTTTTGCAGACTCATACGAGCATTGGCCGCACCTACGAAAGACAAAAGGGTAAGTTGGATGAACAGACCACCAAGTTGGCGGCCTGCGAGGAAGCGCTCTCGGAGCACATCGCCGTCAAGTCTGCATTGAGTCAAACCTACCATGACATGGAGGTGGTACAACAGCTAGAGGAACTAGACGTGGTGGAGCTGCTGTTAAGGAAATGCTGTGCCTGGCAGCGGGGCCCTTTGCCCTTGACACTATTGATGCAGTCCGGAGTGGTCACGCAAGACAGCTCCATCCTTTCGGATTGCCCAGAAGCTTACAGCACGCTGGTGTCCCTGCCGCCCATAATCCCTCAACTCCAATGCATTTTTAAGTAGTCGACACGCTCCCGTCGAGGGCGGCCCTCGACATGTCCCAACATGGACCTGGGTCTAGCAGCAGACTTTGGAGCAGATCAATCGAGCGGGGGGAATAAGTGATTTTTACTCGAGAATGATGGCCCCTGTGGCACACACTGCGACCCCGATCGTCGCACAACATGGAGAAAACGATGTTCCTGGAAACGAGATTCCCAACTCAGCACTGTACAGTGTCTACTATTACAGACACACGGCGCGACACAATGACCGACACTTGTTTTGCTACGGCTCGCTCACCCGGCCGTCTCCGCGAGTCGGTAACATCACCCCGGGCGCCACGGCGGAATACTTTTATGGACGTAACCAGTGCGGCACTGCGGAACAGAGGAACGGTCCGGCTGATGGGAGGTACGGTCCGGCTGATGGGAGGTACGGTCCGGCTGATGGGAGGTACGGTCCGGCTGAAGGGAGGTACGGCACGGGTGAACGGAGGTTGTACCCAATCGCGAGCAGCTGCAACTTCACTCCGCAGCAGCGACTCCTCCAGGGCTCCCGCAAGGCGGCTGAGCCCCTCCAGGCGGCGAGAGCGGGGACCCCAAGGGCGGGGACCCCGAGAGGGGGAGCTAGTCCTCGAGGGAGGTCCCCTCGAGGCGGCCTCCCTCGAGGGGGAAGCATGTTACCAATCCACATGTTCGGGTCGCCGAGGTCGGAGCCGCTGGGAGGCGACCTTGCGGCGGAATCGTCGTTTTCCACCGAACCCTACTCCGAGCTGATAGGCGACTACTCTCGCAGACGGCGGAAACCCTCGACCCTGTGTTACGGGTTCCTACAAGGCGATCAGCCGACTTGGGCCGCCCCTTTAGACAGGTCAACGTGCGACCGCACACCGGGAGGGTTGCAGCAGAGCGGGACGCAGCATGGACCTGTGCAACAAGTCGGGGTGCAACAGGGGTCGATACAGCTGGGAGCAGTTTTGCAGCAGGGACTCCTACGATGCGGAGTGCACCCGTCATGGGCTGCCTTTCCTCAAGAGCCAGCCGCGACGTCGCCACGGCAGCGGGCCGGCGGTCGAACGCGGAAGAGGAGTCGCGAAGGGGGTCTGGAAGAGCCGTGTTCGAGACAAGGGTCTCTACCGCGTCGGAGTACACTAGCTCCTGGGGGCATGGAGCGCGGAGAGGCAACACTCTCCAGCGATGATCTTCGAACCCACGACGTGTGGTTTGCGATGGAAGAAGATGGTCCTAAGAAGAAGTCCGTCGCCTTACGGACGCTACGAACAAACAGCCGCACAGTTGTCGGTCTGAGTACCGCTGCCACCAGCATCGAGTCTTGCGACACGGACAGCTCGGCTATAGAACTTTCCGAGTTGGTTACTCAAAGCTCTCCGGTCTCGGAAGCGCACGGAGTCGCTCCCGTCTCTCCAGTTGCCGTCGGACGAGAGCAGTGCTCCAGACGGACCACTTGTCCAGAAACCATGAGCAGATGCACCCTGCCGCTGGTCAGAGAGGTGCTGAGCGAGGGACCAGCGACCAGCGAAAGACGAGCACTAACAACTGAGCACGCAAACTCGAGTCGACAAGACCAACATCAATCTCCTCCCCATAGTACCCGGTGTACCTCCCGGATAAACAGTCCGCGTCTGGATAAACAACCCGGGGGCCTTCCCGGCCTTAACCAGAGTCTTACTCAGAATTTCAACCGGAGTTCCAACAAACTGTGTCTTAGTCCTCCAAACGCCTTTAGGTATGCGGGTCCAAGTCCGGGGTGTCCAAGTCTGTCCAGGGCAAGTACTGGGCTTGGATATCCGGTTCTGGGATACACGAGCACTCGAGGCCCCGACTGTCCGTGGGCGCCCTCGCTGGCTACGCCGATCTCGTCCAACGAAGTCGAGCGTCGAGTGGCACAGCGTCGCCTACACGCTCAAGACGTGTCGGAACAGGAGATTGCAGCAAGCGATGCCACCACCGGAAGCCGGAGCCGGCGTCTACTCAGTAGCAGGCGCGCCTTCAGTTCCGCTGGCACTTACTTCTCTCCAAGCCGCGGCCCCCCGTCTATGAAGGCTAGTCAACTCGGCAGCTACTGCACGAGCGAGGTCATTGCTGGACCCCACAGAGAAAATCCGGGGGACATCACCACAGCCACATCTACGAGTGGTTCTTCCGTGGCGCTGGCCCAGATCCCGGCTCAGACGCAGGCCAAGTCGACGGTTGAACAATCTTCTCCACCTCGTGAGTCAGCGCACTAAACCGTTGCCAGCACCGTGCACAAGCGCTCTACACTAAGATCCTGCACTCACGACCGCCAGTTGTGACCGTGCACACCACATGTGTGCACACCCTGCGTGTGTGACAAGCACTCACACCTTATTTTTCTGCTTGGTAGTTGTCGGTAGAAGGCGGTTGCAGCGACTCGACTTTGCGACCAGGCAGTTATGTTCGTTTCTGATTGGTTACGAGTTAACCACTGGGCACTGTGCGTCACTTGTGGTGGTGCATCTGGGTCCGACAGTTCCGAAATTGAGTAGTTATGCATCACACGTATTGGTCTTCGGATCTCTATGTCTGGTGGCAGCGATAGGGGCACGCTTGAGCTGTCACATACGTGTGACTCAGTCATGGTTGTTAACAGCTGTTTTTTGCTGTTCGGGTATTGTCAATGGAGTGACACTACTAGCGGAGTCTATGATGGAAGTTTGGATCTCTAAGTTGTTGAGCTTCTTGCTTTTAGGTGCCACCACCGTGCCGGGAGTAATGAGTTCCGTTGACCCGCACAGCATGTGCACATCCAGCACATGGCATTGGTTCCTCTTCTTCGTTTATCTAGGCATCCTTCTGGGCTCCATTACTTCCGCCGCTGTCACTGGACTGCCCGGCAGCATCTACCCGCAACCCGGTCTCTCCGTCCAAATCGACTACTCCCACAGAGCCTGGGTCGCACAGGGTATCGTACGACTCTTGTTAGGCACTCTAGGCTTCGCACTCTCCATCATCACCGCCGTCTCGCACAACCGAACGACACAGAACGAACTTAAAAAACTGCAGACAAGCAAGCAGTCAACAAGGCGAACAAACACCCTAGTCGACCAGACCACGGACGTCAGAGAACAGTCAAGCGGCTATGGTGACCACGATGATGGTGGCGACCACGATGACGGTGGCGACCACGATGATGGTGGCGACCACGATGACGGTGGCGACCACGATGACGGTGGCGACCACGATGACTATTGTGACCAAGACTCGTTGCTCACCGGCGAACAGACCCAGACGCCGCGGCTGTACCGCCTCGCTCACTCCTCGAGCAAGAGGGCGGGGTCGTCGTCTGAATCTGGTCTACTCGGCGACGCGTCCTATCGGATAGAGGTCCGGCTCGAGTCGGAAGTCCGGGCCCGATCAAAAGTCGGACCGGCAGAAGGAAGACTTGCAGGACACGCGTTCGCCACACACGGGTCAACGCACGAGGCTTCACACGCATCTGGACCAATGTGTACGAAAGAACCATGCAGCACAAACCTGCAGAACCCCCTGCACACGACTGGCTCCAGGCTTGTACCGACCCGGCTTGTACCGACCCGGCTTGTACCGACCCGTCAGGTTTCTACCCACCAGGTTTCGGAGTCGCTTGACGGACCGCTGGTATCGCGTCGAGGTCGGCAGCTGGCGAAGCGAAACTGGGAGCTCTGGCCCTTCAAGAAGGCAGTTCGCGCCGCCTCGATCTTGAGCCCTCGATCAATGGGCAAAAAGTCGCAGGCCGCGACACCTCTGGGCGCAGGCTGCAAAGAGGAGTCCGGAAGACGCGCGTACAATACACATCCTCAGCTGGCCTGTGGCGATGTTGAACAGGAGTCAGCGGGATCCCCATCGATAGCTAGCTACGATAGAAAGGAAAGGAACGCTCGCCCGTCAGACCTGTGTTGGCTCGATTTGCCTCAGGCGGGCGCTTCTGACCGGTTAGAAAGACCAGTGGACAGAGATCAATTCGTACCGGTTAAACTACCCATTCGTTCGAGGCCAAGTCTGAGACCTGTTTTGAGGTCTGATCTGAGGTCGCCTCTGCGGCTGGAGACCGTTCAGCGGGATGTCAGACGGACGACTGAGGACTTGGGTCGCCCTGAGCACCTGAGTCCACAGGGATTTGTCGACCGCGACGTGGTTCTTGCATCAGCAGTCCCTCCATCAACGGTTCTTGCATCAACGGTTCTTGCATCAACGGTACATGGGTGGAAGATGGGGAGTGAGGCGTTTGTGTCGGCGGATGCGGTGGTCGCTGAGTTACTGACAGGTGAAGATTCAAGTTGGATGATTTCTACAGGGTGTGCTTTGGCCGTTTTGATGCAGGCGAACGGTTCATTTTTGACGTACTCTTATTTACTTGTATCGTTGCATGACACACGATTGGCAACCTACCAGTGGACGACAGCCGTGTGCGCATCGTTGATGGCGTTCCTGGTGCTGTGTAACTTCTTGTTATTGGTGTGTTTCCGTGCCAGAAACCTGATGCTCTTCGGGTCCTTGTCTACGTGTCTATGCCTGGCTGTCGCCTTCGTCCACGTCCACACCAACGATCAGGCCACGGTCTGGGTGAGCGCCATCTGCCTCCTTGCTGTACAAGTTCTCAATATGCTGACCATACTTCCTACCGCACTAACCATCTTATTCAACTCTTGTCCTTTGTCGATCAGACTGGCTCTACTCGGAGCTGCTTCAGTCACTTTTTGGGCTGCTGCTACCCTATGTATACTCTCCACTCTCATTACAAACTTGCTCGGAGCCCTTTGTCAGTTTCTCGGTACGATTCTCCCTCGGCCCCCACTTACAGCTTCTCGTAGTGTTGACATCAATTCAAGGTACCTTGGTATTTTTATACGTCCAGTAGTTATCACCACGCGGCACTTACCAATGGTGGTGATATGACTAACGGTGACTCACCACAATTACGACCGATGACGATTGTGATTTATGACGACAATGTTTGCGACAGTTGTGCGATACAAATGCACCATGAAGTAGTTAGCAGAAGTGTAGAGCTCCATTTCAAAAGATTAGAGATCAAGCAACGACAAATTAGGGGAGCGTTCAAAATAGGATATGTATTATGTAAATGGTAAGTCAATGCACACACGTGTGTGTAATACTCTTTGACATGTTTTAGGACAAGGATTAATCTACCATGGTCGTTTTCGAACCTGTATCTGAATACCCGCATTACAAGACAGACCTCTACGCAAGTACAGGAACGACAGCTCGGTGTGCGAATGATATGCAGGTTAATTCAATTTCTTATATTCAAGAGATACCAATGGGGATTCCGAGCCATTCATATTTTAGCAGCGATGAAGGTAATTACCCGCCCCCCTTAATTACCGCCCC